TATGAGCAATTAAAGCTATCTTCAAAAGAGAGTTATAAAGAAGAATGCAAGGTTTTTGGAGCAAAAGTGAATCATTAGTGTCATAACCCAAGTGTTGAAAAGAAATAGTTTGGGGGTATTGGTAACTCATCAAAAGAGGTAATGAAGTGTGGCCAATGTAGTCACGGCCCTAGGGTGTTATAAAAGAGAAGATCATGGTGATCTAGGGTAAAGGGCCACAAAACTAGGCCAAATAAACAGATATGAAGGTGCTGAAATTATGTTGAAAATATGCTCATATATGTGTTCCTTGCTTGTTACAAAGTTCAGTAATCTCTTATGCTCTTACCTATGCTTTAATTGTGCTCAAAATATTGTATATCTCATATCCCTTCTTTCATTCAACCACTACCCTAAACCTCATTACTACCCTTGTAAAGTCCTTTTGATCCTTGGTGTTGCATGATATTATGTAGACAGTAGATTGGATAATGAGCTTATGGCGGAATTTTTGATTTTGCTCTAAGTGTGTGCGCATGTACTTATTTGAGTTGCAGGTGTTGTTCTGATTTGGCATTCACACACTACACTTAAGGATGTCATTGTGAGCTTTGCTTTCTCGTGAATCATGTATGGAACTTAGATTGTGATTTTTATGTTTCCTTGGAACCATATACGTTGGTGATTCTTTGAGGATATTGTTCGGAAGGCTAGTTGCGTATTTCCTGTTCTCTAAGTTGTAATTTTCCTTTGTTTTGCTCGAGGACTAGCAAAATCTAAGTTTGGGGGTATTTGATAAGTTCATAATTTCATACATTTGCATGACTTCTTTACTTAGTGACTTTGCTTGGTTTCTCTTTATTTTGAGTCACTTACCTCTTTTTGTTTGTTTTGTAGGTTAAGACAGCAAGAGATCACATTTTATGCAATCCATGCTTGTTAAGGGCTGATTGGGATAAAAGGAATATGAGCTTAAAGACAAACCCAATTTGGGTCACACTCCTTGTCAGTCCAGTTTCGTGGGCCATCTTGCAGTCCTCATTTCAGCAACTTACACAGGTCGGATGAGGAGACATCCTTGATAGAAGTTATTCCAATGGGTGTCTATTATCACATATCCAAATTTCAGCCCAATTGGATAAATCTGGAGCCCTCAGCACGTCAAAGACTGAACCAAGTTCACAGAAATAACCAAGTTCACAGAAATGTCATGTTGGCTGCCATCACATTTCAATGTGTCTACATCCCTAGAGCCATGTGCTAAGTATGGGCAGCCACACATGGGAGTCAAATCAGCTCAGAAACTCAGAATGATGAACAAAAGTCAAGTTTTCCGTTAAAAAAAACCATACCAAAGCATGTATTTGGCAGCTGGAGTAGGTGGCAAGTATGGGCTGCTAGAGTTGTTGGGAGCAGCTAAGAGAGGTGTGCCTCACCAGCCAAAGGGGAGGACGAAATTGCACTCTATAAATAGAGGGCTGCACACTCATTCAAAGAGGGAGAGTCAGATACACATTTTCACTTCATCCATTACTCTCATACACAAATTCAGATTCACCACAAAGAGAGAAGAGAGCTTGGAGCTGTCCTAGGAATTAATTGCTGCCATCATCTAGTTCTTCTCCTCTCTTTATCCTATCTATGTATTTCTTATTTT